TATTTAAAAGAAATCTCCCTTATTTTGCAGTTGAGGCTGCATGCCATCTTAGAAAGCCATTCATCACAAACGTTATCCATACCAACATGCTCTTTCCATAGTTCATCTTTAAGCCTGAGACGAGCTCAAAGACTCTCATGATATCTTTAGCGGCCCTTACATTTCCTTTTGTTGCTTAGCCAAAGAGAATTATATTGTCAGCAAATTGTAGATGAGATATGACTAAATCTCCATTTCCCACTTTAACACTTTCAAGAAGTTGTAAGGAGATAGTCGATTAAATTAGTCCATGTAAACCTTTTGCCTAATCATAAATAGAAATAAGGAAAGCAGGTCTCCTTGTTGAAGCCCTTGATGTACCATAAACTACCTTGTAGCATTGCCATTTACTAAGATTGAGATTAAGCAAGATTTAAGGCACTCCATTATTCAACTCCTCGATTTCTCATTGAACCCCATGCTTTTCATCATAAATTCTAAAAAATTCCATGAAATCTTGTCATATGCTTTTTCAAAGTCAACTTTAAAGGCAAAGGTATTTAATTTCCCTATCTTAGCTTAGTCTAAGATCTCATTTGCAATCACTAACCCTTCACAAAGTTACCTTCCACTCAAGAATGCGATTTTTTGTTCAACAATGATGCAGTCCATGAACTGCAGAAATTGGCTTAAATTCCTTAATTTTCTAAGGATTCTCTATCTTTGGGAGGGGCACTACAAATGAAGTATTAAGCCTTTTACTCAATTTCCCTAGGTGGTGAATTTCTTAAACAAATGCCAAAATGTCATTTTTCAACACATCCCACATCTTCTTGATGAAGTTGAAATTGAAGCCATGAGGACCTGGTGCTTTGAAACTTTCACATTCTCAAACTTTCAAACTTCCTCTTCCTCAAATACCATCATCAATGACTCATTTTGTTCAATCAATAGTTGCTTGAAATTCAAGCCTTCTAGCATAGGTTGATCCCAAACTTCTCTGAACATCTTCTTAAAATATGCAGCTACTTCTTCTTTAACTTCACTAACTCCTTGAATATTTCTCCCATGAATCATTATGCTATTAATCTCATTCCTTCCCCACTGTCCTTTTGCACATGTGTGAAAAAATCATGTGTTTGCATCCCCATCTTTAATCCACTCCTTTCTAGCTTTTTGTCTCCATATCCTTTCCTTCGACTGCAAATTGCTTCACAACTCCAAGAAATTGTTTTTCTTTTCATCCTTCTCTAATTCTGATAATTGATGCAATTCCCCAACTAAATCTAGCTTCTCAATATTCTCTTTAGCCTTGGTTATTCTATTCTTTACATCTAACATTAGATTTTTGCTCCAATTCTTCATAAAAGCTTTAAGTTCTTTTATCTTTTCTTTTAAGATAAAACCCTTCCTTCCCTGCATTATTGTTGACTTTCATGCTACAATTACATATTCTTTAAATTATGGGTAATTGAACCAAGAGTCAAACACCTTGAAAGGTTTGGAATCCCAATCCACTTTCTCCTCTTTCAACAAAATAGGGCAATGATCAAAGAAAGATCTTTTTAATCCCCATTTTTTAAGATCACCCTAATTTAACGACTATTCCTCAAATAAAAGGAATCTGTCTATTGTCCTCATTGAACTCCCATCGGAATGGTAGTAAGTACACTTTTTGCCAATCAATATTAGGTCATATAATTCACATTTGAAATGAATTCCTCAAACTCCCTTAGCTTACATTGTTGCCTCCTACTTCCTTCAAATTCCTGAGCATTCCTAACAGCATTAAGATCACCCATCACACACTAGTTTCCACCATGTTCTTGAATCAAAATTTTCAAATCACCTCACAACTTCCTTTTTCCTTGTATCTCACATGCTATATAAACATTTACAATATTCACAGGTATTCCCTTTAACCCCTAAAAACAAAACACACCAAGAAAGCCATCTTGGTACCCTGTGCTTCCTGAAAACATCAGAGTTCCAAATAGTGATCAGCTCACCAAATTGACTTAAAGAGGGTTTTGCAAACCAATCCATATTCTCAAATCCCCAAATACTTATGCATAGTCATCTATCACCACCTTCAGTTGTGATTCTTGAATTGCTATAAACTCCAGTTTTTCCTTTGTTATTAGATCTCTTAAATCCCTCTTTTTATCATCTTCCCCGCAGCCCTTTCCTTTATTTGTTATCCATCCTTTTTTGTCCTTTTGTTTCATCTTTTCTAACTATCGAACAACCCCCCTCTTCATTGCCCATAACCACAACCTCGATGTCCTTGGCAAATTTTCGAATTCCTAATGCCTTATCAAATTTTGCTTGTTTCGATCTATCCTTGTTGCAATTTGCAATCCCATTATCTTTGATTGATTCCCCTACAACCCTATTGTATTTGCTAGCATAAAAAACTAGGATTTGATCCTCTAGACCTTTCTCTATTGTTTCCTCTTTCTTCCTTTTTTCCATATTGGTAGAGTTATGATTGGAGTTCTATACACTGATGCACAAGAGCGCGCCTTCTTGACCTTTCTTTTCTTCAAGCAACCCCTTCGGTCCATGTGCATCCATTCTTTAAGCCCCTGAGTTACTGTTAAGCCCTTCTTAGAATGATTTCTCATGATTTACTTGCACTTCCTCATTAGATTTAGATAAGAGATCCAAACTCGCCATTCTTTCTAAGACTAATCCTTCTCCAGAACCTTTCCTATTTTTTGTTTCTAGTTGGCCTTCAACATCTTGGGCTCTATTGTAAATTTGTAAAGCATCTCTACCAGCCCTTGGGTTTTTGGGCCTTTCCAACCCATTTGTAGCATCCAAAAAACCAAAGCTTTTTTCATTCAGCCCACTTACTTCGCTTAAAGTCTCACTACTTTTTCTAGCACTATTAATCTCCATGTTTAATTTTTTTCTCTCCCATTCTACAATTTGAAAATGGCAACTCAATTGCACTATCAGCCATAATCTTCCATTTTCTGACTTATTACCCGTGCTTCGAAGCAGTTGATGGGTATTGTTGTTTATATTCCCCATGTTAGATTCTAAAATCTAACACAAGTCTCCTATGCAAATAGGTAGGTTCACAGATATTTCACCCCCAGTCTTATCCTTTATTGCCTCATCACCATTTTCTTTGTGGGAACTAGCACCCAAAAGGATGTTATTTTGCATGGCTTCAAATGGTTCATCTTTCATAGCCATTTCATTAGAACACCCCAATGACCATGATTCCTCATCTTCCATCTCAAAATTGGACGTGAAGAAAGGGTTGAAATCTAATTTCATTCTTAAAGTCCCATTAGCTAATTCTACCTCAATAATCTTTAGATTAATTGGCTTGCCATCAACTTTCATTTGAAGTTTCTTTGAGATAAACTCCATTGCAAGTGACGAGGTGAAAAACTTTCCAATGTCAAATCTTTTCCTTCCATTAGTGATATCATCTAAGCATATAAATTTCCCCTACATGCAAGTGATGGTTGCAAAGAACTCTTCTTCCTATGCTTGAAAAGGAACTTCGTGGCATTTCAACCAAACAAACCTTTTGTTCTCAATCATGTCTGGTGTTCATGATCTAACTTCCTTAAACCATTGGCTTAACTAATCCTTACCTAGTTCCACTAAATCTTTCAACTCATCCTTATTCTTGCAATCCAAGAGCACCAACTTACCCCTCATAAGTCTAACTAAATAAGAGAAGTACTTTTCCATGTAAAATTTTTCTTAAAGGTTTGGTACTACCTCTACCGAGTGTGGCATTAAGTGTGGTCTTCATTTTTAGTGTTGAACTCCAGCTCCATTCCTTGTTCTTTCCCCCTTACCTACCAAATCTGCACTTGTCTTACACCTGATTTGGATGGGTGTCCCACCTCAGGTTTTGAATTGGTTCCTCCAATTCTTTTCAACACATCAGCATAAGACACCTTTCTTGACTTAATCACCCTTGTCTCATCACCTAGTAGTTGCTTTTTCTTTGAGTCTTCCTTACTAAATCTGCCTTGTTTGCCCAAAGCTTACAACTCCCAATCCTAATTTTATTTAGTGGTTGTTCCAATTCTCTCTCATCTCTGACATCCAAAAACTGCACAAAACCAAATTGCTTGTTCTATCCCTTTGTAGTGGACTGCAAATTGCTAAGACCCTATCAAATTTCTTAACGGTTGCTCACATCTCTACATGACATCAATCTTTAGGAAAATTAGTAAAGAAGTATGCAACGACCTGATTGTATGTATTTTTGTCATAGCCCCATCAGAACAAAAGTTTTTTTGACTCTTCCATTTCACCTCATAACCATATCCTTATTGATCCAACCTTTGGTTGCCAACAAACTCCCAGCTCTATGCCATTCGTCTAACCCTAGTTCTGTACTTGTTCATCTTCTTTTCTCTCGCTTGTCCTTTTATCTTGACTTCCTAGTAGTATTTCCTAGGAGAAAAGCTAAGATTAGGATTAAAAAAAATTGAATCCTGTTTTCTTTGTTTCCTTGTTTATTTAGTTTAAATTAGGAAAATAATTTAGAGAAAAATATTATGTTTAACTTTATATATATAATCTTATATGTTATTTAATAATTGATTCTTTTAGTTTACCTAGATCCTAAATTAAAGCTATTAGCAAGTTGGATAGTTCATGAATAATTTTTGAATTATTCTAATTAAGGTTGATTCAAGTTTGACTCAGTTGGTAAATGAGTTAAGCTTAAGCTTAATATCATATTTGATAAAAAAAATCAAGTTTGACTTCAAGTTTACATAATTACTCATAAACTTACATAACTACTCTTTCCATTGGGCCAAAGATCTTTTAGGGGTGGAGGATATATCTTTTATAGATTGAAGTACCAACCCTGTAAAGGGCTTAAGGTTTGCAAAGAAGGTTCGCATAACTAGTATGTTGAATAGGAGTTAAATTTGATAATGTATATCATAATACACGTGTATATCGTATAGGGTTAGAAGTGTAAATATACTTCTATACATCTTGTATATATACCCTGATTATAACCTAATAAAGATTGATTCAGCCTCAATATTCTTTATGGTATCAGAGCCTTCTCTTAGCACCAAATTAATTCTAAAACCCTAGGTTTCTTATTCTGTTGTGCCTCTGCGTCAATGGATGAGTCTTCGTCTTCTTCCTCTTTGTCTCCTTCCTCTACTTCTCCTATTCCCACTGGTCCTCCGTTTCTTTCTACAATTTTTGCCCCTTCCTCTCCTGTTGTGTCTGTCACGCCGTCAATCCCTATTCCTCCTTTTCCTCCTACTTCTTCCTCTTTACCCACAACCCTTGCCTCTTTTGTTTTCTCTCATCCTGTTTTCTCCATCACCAATATTCGGAATTATGTGGCAGAAACTCTTGATCACACTAATTTTTTTGTGTGGAAGGAATTGATGATTCCTGTATTGAAAAGCAAAGGC